CTTCGGTCCCTCACTATAACATTTGTTACAGGCAAGTCATGCTTAGTAGTGCACTAAGCAGAAAGTCCAAGAAATTAAAACAGTCTGAAAACACTGAAGACTGAGCTATCTATGGCATACTGCTTTTACTTTCTAGGCAACTGCCAACTTTCTTGGAGCAAATGAGAACTACTGTAGACCAAAATGAGGGAGCCAAACATAGGACTACCAGATACTATACAGGTAATCTGGGGGTTCAGTAAGCAATTCTTTCTCCCTGAATACAGACTGAAGAGTTCGATCAGATGTGCTGATCCAATTACCTAGTGGGAGTTTTTTTTCCCTTAGTGACTAACCCTGTATCCTAGATTAGTAGAAAGAAAGCATCTTTCATATTTAGACTTTAGGCATATGAGCTAAACATAGATTAAAATAGGGATTATTTTAGGGGCGCCTGGGTGGCTGAGTCGGTTAAGCGTCTGCCTTTCGCTCAGGTCATGATCTCAGGATCCTGCTCAAGGAGTCTGCTTCTCTCTCTCCCTCTGCCCCTCCCTGCCTGCTCATATGCGCTCTCTCTCTAATAAATAAAATCTTTAAAAAAAAAAAAATAGAAATAAAGTATGGATTATTTTACTTGGAATTAAAAAACCCAAAACTTAAATATATGTGATGTTTCAGAGCCTTAACATATGAGGTGATTTGCCTGAAATGGCTTCAGCTAGAAATATATGACTAAAACCATGATTTTTTGTGGGCAGGAGTTAAGTTTTTCAACAATGGCTCCAAACAGCCTTCTTAACTATTGTCTGTTATTCTACAGTACAAGTCTTCAGCTGGATCACATTCATTGTGCCTGTTTACTGCTCAGTCTGCTACTGGCCCAAAGTCCATGCCCTCTCTTGTACCCTTCCTATCCTGCCCTCAGCCATCCTTGTTTCTGCCTGTCCAAATCACACATAGTCTTCAAGGTCCAAGGGAGATGCAGCTTCTTAAAGAAGTGAAGTGTTTCAACACTGTATGATCTCTCTTTACTGAACACTCCTGTAATTATTCAGCAAAACATTTATATATACTATAAAATTTAGCATGTAATTATATTGTATACTATTTTTTTAAGATTTTTTCCATGTGTATTCTTATCTACCCATGAATACTATAAACTTCTTGTAGGCAAGGTCATATTTTAAACAACAAATATTAAGTGTTTTAGTCTCACCCCCAAGTATTTCAACCTAACTTCAGATTGTTTGAAATGTACACATTTGTGCCGCCTAATGGTGAAAGTAATTATTGCATGGTTACAGCTCAGTAATTGCTTACAAAACATTTAACAAAATCAAGTAATGGTGGGACCAAATCTTTATTTATTTAAAATCAAAGAAGAGTAAAGCTATCGTTAAAAATGATGAAGCACCAGAGATGGTGATGATGATATAACTCATTTTTGGTGAGAATGAATTACAAGTTTAAAATTGTGATAAATTTATTATAGCTGTCAATTAAAAAAAAAAACTTTCTCATATAAAAGCCTTTCTTCCTCTAAGTTAGAAAATTCCTCTTGGGGGGCACCTGGGTGGCTCAGTCGGTTAAGCATCTGCTCAGGTCATGATGCCAGGGTCCTGGAATCGAGCCCTGTATCAGGCTCCCAGCTCAGCGGGGAGTCTGCTTCTCCCTCTGCCTCTCCCCCTGGTTTGTGTTCCCTCTCTCACTCACTCTGTCTCTCAAATAAATAAAATCTTGAAAGAAAAGAAAAAAAAAGAAAATTACTTTTGGGTTTGGATTAATCTAGTACTGAAAAAACTTACATAATCATACTGAAAGGTTGTGATTAGAGGTACACCTAAAATCATCCATGACTGAGATCTATCAGTGTTAATATATACTGAGGAGAACATGCTAGGACACTATGCTTGTCTTATTTTTCAGATAAAAGAAAAAATATTTAACTCAACTAATACTGATTGAGTCACTATGTGCAGAACATGCCATACCTTCAAGAAGGTTGTGATCTAATAAAAGTATAAAGCAAGCACATTAATGGTGAAATTTAAGGTACTCAGGGTAAATTTCTTGCAGTTACTACTACAGAAACGACACATCTGTATAACGTTATATAATGCGTGCTATGTTTCAGGATAAGTGTGTGTTTTCTAAATGTTCTTAATCTCAGTGAAATATATTCTGAACAGAGGCGCAGAAGCTACTTTCCTCGTTTTGCATTTTCATTTATTCAGTTCTTCTCGGTAAGACTTCAGCCTTAGCTTCTTGATGTCCTAAACTTCTCATGCGCTTATTAGTGTTGATTGCCAAACAGATGTCAGCAACACTGAATTTAGTTATATTCATGAGCAGCGAAGATGATACTTTATGATAATTCATTTTAATACATGGTCTCTAGGATTCCACTGGAATAATTTATTTATAATGGCCATTTAACAGAGAGCTTCTTTTTCCCATAACTGATTATCAAAAGCAGATCTCAGGGACCTAAAGATCAGAAAGTTGGGTTTGGTCCTTTCTGAGGTTTCAATTTCTTTTCTAGGAAGGGTACTCTGGACTAGATGGTTTCTAAGGTCCTCTTCACCTCTGCTCCTTGATGAAACTGTTTGTGTTCACTTGACACCACCCCCTGCTCCCTGGGAGTGGAGCTGACTTTGACTCTCCACCTGATGCCTCCTTAGGTGTGCCTGCTACCCTTATCTTAGGCAGAACCATAATCTCCTCCTTTGGGACCACATCCCTCCATGATCTGGCCATTTCACTTCTTCTTTTTTTTTTTTTTTTCTTTTTAAAACTCTTTTTTGAGGAAAACCATCCAGTTCACTATTGTTACCAAAGTGCTTTATGATTTGGAGATTCTGTTAACTAAAATCATACTACAAATACAAGAGGCACCAAGTTTATAGTAGAAAGAGCACTGGATATTCAGTCAGAGGAACCAGATTCCAATAACTCTGACAAGCTTTTTCACCTGTTTCTCCTTCAGTTTTGCCCTACAAGTTATTAGTAACAGTAACTACCATGTATGGTTATTGTCAGGATTAACTGATCTTATGCATACAAGATACTTAGCACAATGCCTGGTACTTAGTAAGTGCTCAATAAATGTTAGCTGCTAATACTATTATAATCATAATCATATTTATTATTATATAGTGTATAAGATATCCTACTTTTCTAACTGAAGTAAACAGAAACATCTAACTGTAGTTCTCTTTTTTTTCTGATATGGGGGGGGAATCAGCTGCCAGTTCTAGCAGGAAAAATTACACACTGTGGTTGTTGACTAGTGCTTTGAGTGATGACTAAGTAATACACATTCCCCAAAGTTATAAATCAGCTCATTACTAAAATATCTTCCAGATTTCAGAACAGAGAGCTCTACAGATACATCCTTATCCACTATAAGATAATCTACTATCCTGCCTACATTTAGGAAGATCTTTATTAGTAAAAGATGTGTTCCAACAGCATGCTTGTGTTTACAGAGAAATCCAGTAGATGAATGTGTTCCATGATGTCAGAAATACCTTTACAGAAATCATTAAATACTATAAGCCATCAGATTAGCGAGGAAATAGAAAAACGTACTGTTGAATGAGAAGGGTGAGCCTAAGCTGGATGCCACAATTAAACGGTACCACATTAAAAAAAAAAAAAAAAAAAATCACCACTTGAACGTCTCAGTGCCTCTCTGACCCATTCCATAGGCATGAAGAACTGTGTTCTGCAGGGGCTTCATTGGGTAGAAGGATACTTACTATTCATGTGCAATAAGACCATCAAGCCCACAAGTCCATTTCATATCAGTTATGACCACAGAATTTCAAGAGCAACCCAAACTAATAGGGAAAACATTTTTAGTTTACCAACGTAATTTTGGATTGACTATACTTTTTTTTATATCATGGGTACTTAGTTGTAAAGGTGCTTCATTCTGGCAGAGTTCATTAACTGAGGTTATACTTTGTACCTTAAAGTACATTAAACCCTAAAGGAACAACAGTGATGCTATTTAGGGAAAGATGCAAGAACTTTATACCTTTTCTTACATAATGGGGTTCATCTTTCATGTTAACCACAAGCAGTTTTATGACAATGTAGAAATTATCAGATAAGGGTGATAATTTGTCATAGATGTCATCATCATACAATATGACTTGGTAGAAATCAGAGTGGAGAGCAGAAACATGCAAACAAGGTTTTTCTTGCACTAGGTGACTGTGGGCTTTAAATCATTCTTGTAAAATTAGTAACACTTCAGCATGTTTCTGTATAGTTCCTTTCCCATATATATTCATATGTGTTATTTGTCTCAACACATGTATGTATCAATATATAAACATACAAATAAGATGTATAATTGTTTTTTTAACATAAAAATATGAAAATGTACACATTTAAATGGATGTGATACCATCAATGGAATCACCTTGTCCTGATATGCCCATCAATAGACACGGCTCTTGAGGAAGCATGAGGTAGTAGTATGAGCTACAAACTAGGAAGCAGAAGAATGCCATTCTATCCCTCACCTACAGAAATTTACTAACCTCCCTGGATGCCAGTTCTACTTAACTACAAAATGGAGGTAGTATTTGCCTTCCTACTAACCAGAATCATCTGTTGGAGTGAGTGGAATAATAAATGCAAAAAATACTTTTTAAGCTATAAAGAACAATAGTATAAGTATTAAGATACTTTCAAGACAGTTTTGGTGTTTTGAGAAAAATTTAAAAATGGAATGATAGTCTAATTGTATTATTTTCTGTATTCTGAGAGGAGAAAAAAATTTTTATAAAGTTATCTCTGATATATATATATATTTTTTATCTCTGATATTTCTAAAGAATACATAATAAGACGTTAGTGCATGGGGTCAACTTAGTATAAAAACACAGTATCTTTTATCTTCAGAAAAGACATAAAAAAGTGCTTTGTAAATTCTGAAGGGCTACATACAAAGTTTAACAATTGTTGCCACTTACATAAAAATGTAGCCTTTTGAGATGGGTGCTTACCTTCTCTTAGACGTTCTACCACAAAAGTAAAGCCTGTAGTTCTTGGGTGTAAGACATACTCGTATTTCTGAAGTCCATTCTTTTCAGCAAAATCATTACTTCGAGCCTTGCTGTTTTCTAAACAAAACAAAAGGCTATTAGAAGCCATAAAATAAAGGAATACAAGTGAGATAAGGAAATAGTGGAGGATTTTTTTGATAAAATGGCAGTTAATTCATCTGTAATTACTGAATATAGCATATATGAGTCGAATGAGAAGATACAAACACTTTAGTCCCTAACAAAGATCGCAGAGTTTTGGGAATTTTGAAATTTTTATAATAAGGTATTAATAGGACTTTTTATAACTGTTTACTGAAATTCATATTGAAATCTTTAAAATTATTTAAGGGATTTTATAAAGTAGTCAATGTACAACAAAAATGAAATACAAATAAAATACGAATAAACTAAAATTTTCATAAAAGTCTTTACATAATAAAAATTGAAACACTAAAAGATGCTAATATAACTAAGATACTAATAAAATATAAGGACCGAGACACTCAGAAAAAACAAGTAGCCAATACGCCAAATATATCAACTCAACATTTTTTTTTTTAACCTAGTAATTTAGGGCTTCATTGCAAAGTGAAATGTCTGCCTTGCTCAAGCATAGAGCATGCTAATATTACTAACCAAAACCACTCCCCAACAGAATGGGCACATGATTAGCACATCTTGTTCAAACATCTGAACATGGTTTGGCTGAATATAGTTACAGAATCAAGTATATGTTCCAATTATTGGCAAAAACTTTTTCCATTCCATGAGGTAACTTTATAAGTTCCAAGAAGAACCAAACCCATTATTCAGCAAATATATTTGGAAAAAGTAGTGTTCAGAATTTTGGCCTCAACTGCTGGGAGAGATCATGAAATACCTTCTGATGACAGCAGATGTTAGAATCTGCAACTCTCAGCTGCATCCTGAAATTTACAGACTATTCCAAGTCACAAGAAAAAAAAACTTTCTCTATATAAACCCATACTTCTTAGGAATAAATTTAAGATCACGGAGTCCTCAAACCTCAAAAAACCATATATGGATTCCACAACACTAAAATATTCAAAGAATATGCCTCTAAAAAGTGTCACACTATTTTTTAATTGAGGAACCAAATTAAAGAACTAAATATTCACAGTCCCCAGCAAGACAAAAGTATAGGCTATAAACATGAAAAGGAATAAGCTCCTCGCACGTTCATTTGAGGAGAATATCCTGGGCATGGGACTCCAAAAACAGTGTCTGATAGACAGCTAGAAGGCCCTTCCATGGAATGAGGAATCCTAGGGACACTACAAAGATAAGTAGTTAACTACTCTTCACTTTCCTCTTCCAGTTCATCACAGACTCTGGGGATCTGACAACAAAGTTGAACTCTGCTGTAGAATGGGAATACAAGTAGTTTTAAAAATATAGTCACAATGTGGGGGGGTAGATATAATAATCAGAGACACAAAGAAATACAGATTCTTCCTTCTATCCCCCCTTCATCTACCCACCCCCGGACTCTGATTATTAGTAACTGCACTAGCCTCCCTCTTTCTGACCACAGCCTCCTGTCTTGTCAGCTCACTGCTGGTAACACTCCAGTGCCAACACTCCTTCCACTCTGAAGAGAGTACGGGCTATTCTGTGTTCTCAAACCAGCTAGGCATGTTTTCACTTTTCAGGGTCTGTGCAGATGTTCTTTCCCCTACCCAGAATGCCTTGTACCCAGACACCGGCAATGTTTTCTGCTTTGTTCAGTTAGTCTCTACTTACACAGAAATTAAGGGACTTCTTTTAACCACCTTATATAAAAGAGTACTCTGTGCCCTATCTACTCCTCTCCCTGTCCTTATCTTGCTTTATTTCTCTGCACAGCATTTATGAATACTTGACGTATTTTTGTTAACCGACTGGTTTTTTATTCTGTCTTTCCTCATAGAATGTAAGCTTCATGAAAGTAGGGGCTTGTATTGTATATAAAGCTTCAGGGCACTCATTTATTAAATGAAGTTTTATGTGTTTAATTACATGTAATATTATAATTGTTAAAAACTAGAAACGCTTTCTTTTCCAAATCACGGTAACAGAACTCAAAATTACAGTATACCAATTGTTATGATTAAGTTTATGTATCAAACTGGCCTAGCCAGAGTACCCAGATAGTTGGTCAAACATTATTCTAGATGTTTTGTGAAGGTATTTTTCAATGAGATTATTTAAATCAGAAGACTTTATATAAACAGAGTACTCTCCATAATATGAGTAAGCCATATCTGATCACTTGAAGGCTTTAATAAAAAAAAAAAGACTAATCTCCTCAAGCAAGAAAGAATTCTGTCAGCAGACTGCCTCTGGACTTGAACTGCAACTCTTCCCTGGGTCTCCAGCCTGCTAACTTACCCTGCAGATTTTTGACTTGCCAAGCCTCCACAATCATGTGAGCCAACTCCTTAAAATAAATCCCCAACTCCCATCTCATTTTCTCTCAAGCTCAATCTCCAATCTCCACACACACACACACACACCCTCAGTGGCTCTGTTTTTCTGGACAACCCTACCTAATAAACCAATATAATATAAAACTGCCCAACCTTTGAAACACATGTTTTCAAAGAATAAATAATGATAGGAGAGATAATATAACATTAAGTGCAAAGAAATGTGTAATTTTATTTTTACAGTTGTTTAAAACTATGTGTGTTTATGCACATATGTCTGTGTGTGTGTGCATGTGTGCATTTGTGACCAAAGGATCCAAAAGCAATGGACCAAAATTACACTAGTGTTTGTTTATGGGCAGTGGGATTATAGCAACTTTTGTGCTCTATGTTTCTAAATTTCCCAAGTTCACATATACGATTTCCATAGGCAAAAAAAAATAAGTTATAACCAACAATAGCATATGAAGGGAAAATATATGTAAAGTTATATTTAAGGGCGCCTGGGTGGTTCAGTTGTTAAGCGTCTGCCTTCGGCTCAGGTCATGATCCCAGGGTCTTGGGATGGAGCCCCACATGGGGCTCCCTGCTCAGCAGGAAGCCTGCTTCTCCCTCTCCCACTCCCCCTGCTTGTGGTTCCCTCTCTCGTGGTCTCTCTGTCAAAAAATAAATAAAATCTTTAAAAATAAAATAAAGTTATATTTAAACACACTAATTTGAAAATGTGCAAGCAGGTTGGACTCAGAACTTAAAGAGGGTTATAGAACATTCCCCTTGGGCTTAAAAATCCGAAGTTTCAAGTTAACTGTGGTAGCTAAAAACACCCTTGAATTAACAGACACTTTTTCAAAGATAATCATTTATCCCAGATCAAAACTACCTGTATAATCCTATTTAAAAAAACAAAAACCAAAACCCTTTGAAAGCTTCAGGATCTGTTTTCTCTTTTTGGCAAACACTCTAGCTTTTGAAAGTTGGCTTTAAAATGTAAATACCATTTTAACTTAAAAAATACGCGACTACATCATGTAATGGTGAGTACTCTGGACCCTGAAAATATGCCACTAGATGTTAAGTTCATCACGTAAAAAAGACACTTGAGAAAAAAAATACAGACTGAAAAAAGTTTTAAATACATATTTTATAGGCTCTGAAGATCTAATGTATAAACATTTTAACACTAAAATACCATAAAGTAGCAGCAATCCCAGAGCTTTTTTTCTATTAGCTTTTAATTACTAAATAACTTCCAAAGTTGCCATTCTTTAGTGTCCGCTTTGGCACTCACAAATATCAATCTATCATCTCAGTAAATTACTTTCTATAATATAGCTAGTATTTCAACACCCAAATTTAAGTATTATACATTCTTAAGTAATATAAGATTTAAATACAGCTGTCTGTCCATCAGAACTTCCTAATGATAGTGTAGCTCTGAGAATCAATTAATTTACAACCTATATTTTTAAGCTTAAACAATATGCAGCCAATATTATCCTCAGTATTATCCTCTGTGATCCAACTGCTTTTAGAATCTTCACTATAAAAATCAAACCTATGTAGTAAGCATATATTTTAGTACATAATACTATTCAATAAAACTTGTCATGGTTCATTTAGTTCAGTTCCATCTGTAACGGATAAGTCAAAGAGCTCTTCCTTGGTATCAATGGTAAATGTTTCCCAAAATACCTGAATTTCCCTCAGCACAGTATGGCTTAGCTACCCATTCACTTAAATAATTGTGTAGTTTGTATTTTTCATCTTGAATTCTTTGTAGGTACTGGGTCCCATGATTTCTTATGTCCACATAGTGAACTAGTATGTTCTCCCCTCTGAAGCTCTAAGGGTTGTCCTTCTCAGTAGCTCTCAGTTGCCTCCATCTGGTATTGAGGATTTGGAAGACAAGTTCATGTTCTAGCCCTCCATACTATGTGATTTTTAGACTTCAGTTCTACCCTGCTTCAGTCTGTCTTCTCTTGTACAGCAGACCTTATCTGCCGGATCCTTCTCAAATTCTGCTCTATCTTTCCTGAAGTAACCAGGGAATTATCAGTTTTAAAATTTTGCTCTTTTGAGTTGGATTCCACAGAACTGCTTCCTGTCCAAGCTCATCCCTCCCTGCCAATATTCAACCACAACACTTCTTCAATCTGTCTTAAATCCCAGACTGCAATAGGCACCTTCATCTGCAAAAATGACCTGTGCTTTAAAAACGTGTGAGAACCACTGATTTAGTAAGGAAAAAAGACTATATTTTGGTTTTAATCTTTTAAAGGATTCCTTGAGATCCACTGGCATTCTTGGCTTATGTATGTAGTTTAGTATCTGGGAAGACAGAAAAGTTCTAAATATGTCCTCCTGTGTTCCCTCCACAACTCAGTGGTGGCTGAATTTTCTTGAGGACAGGACAAAGCCTTTCCTGTTTAATTAGGGATAAGGCTTTAAAATACCCAGAGAAAGGCAACATATTAACTTAAAATAACAATAAATGAAATTGGTTACTATCATATCCTTTTCTTATAAAAAAAGTTGAGAAAAAAGGGCCTAATGGATATATATGTATCTTGAAAGAGGACAGTGAATATACAGAACAGGAAGGGGATTTTAAAATTAGGTTTTGTTATTCTTAAGATTTCACTGCTATTTGGGGGTTTTTATTTTGTGGTTCCATAAAAATTATTTAAAAATTATATAAAAATAAAAGGCTGATATTTAAAATATATAATGCAACTTAAAATATAAAGCTCTAGGATGGCAAGTATGAATAATACTGACCTCTTGGGGTTGTCCATCATAAATTCTATGGTCTGGAAACCAGAATTCTAGGTTCTGATGTGCTATGGATTCACTAAGTGAATGACCTTAGTGGTGGCCCATTAATCTTACTGGTGTTCAGTTATTTCATCTGAAGAACAGAAGTTTAGGCTAAGTGATTTCTAAATTCCTTCATGTTTTAAAATTTTGTGATTCAATCCCAGGCTACCTACCTGTGAGATCAGTTCCTTCTGGGAATATGAGGAGTTGAAGTGGTTCACGGATATCACAAAAATAATCAATTATGTCTTCAAAATGGCTCTGGTCATCCTTCCATTTCCTATGAATGAAGATATAGGCAGCAGCCTGCATGGCCCAACCTAGAACCAATTTAACAAGCATTTACATACAATTTTATTGCTAATATCCACATATTATTGAATATTTCAATTTTTTATCATGAATTATTTACTATCCTAATAAGCATCTCATGATATACCTTGAACTCAGCACTGATCTTAGGTTAAGTAACGCATATACTGGAGAATATTCTTAAAGGAGTTTGCTAAATTCATTGGTTTGCAAAAATCTCAAAAACCTCTTTTCAAGTCAAACCTAGCTATTAAAATAGCAAGGGAAAAAACTTCCCTAATATTTATCAGTAACTCCTCCAAAGTTTTAATAATCCTAATCAGACATTTTAAACAAGCTATCTACAAGAGATATATAACATGTTATCAGGCTTACAGAACAGTAAGCAAGGGACTGTTCTCAAGTCATGTACACAAGCATTCCCTTCAGTATTTCCCCCTTCTGTACTACTCAATCTCTAAATTCAACTACTATTTTCAAAGCTAGCCACTTTAGATTTTATTTAAAAGGGAAAAGGTGTAAGGGGTACTAAACACATTAACCAGAATATATACTGTGATCACATTTCCTTCATATTTAGGGCAAATCAACCTTGCTACTGAAGGAGGTAGCTTTAAATGAGCCATGTTTTACCTAACCAGGCGTCCCTCCATGGCCAAAAATGACTAGGATTACTGTGGTAAAGTTGACTCAGCCAATCTATAGTCTGTTCAATAGTCTATAAAGCATGAAACACTTGGCCCAAACACAATAACTACCATGGCCAATCAAATGTTCTGTCAGAAATTTTACCTGAGACTATGGAGAAAATACACCAGCAATATAAAGGTAAATAGACGGACAAAACAGCAGATAATATAACAGCAGCAGTTGAGGGAAGATAAAAAACGGCACATTGTAGTAAAGATTTAAAATCTTGCTGCTGAGATGCCTCTAGTTGATTTTAATTTGGAACAGAAGACATTTTTAGTCTTCACAAATGCTGGCCAGTGTATGGATCCACCTCTTGGATATCCACAGGAGTCCATCTCCCTTATGGCCATGTGTATCTTTACAATATACTTCCACTATTTCAACTAGAGGGAATAAGTGATAGCTCCTTGCAAACAATGAACATAACTAAAACAATAGCTATCATCATTTGGTAAATACAATGGCACCCTGGGAATATATAAAATTATCATTAAATCATTTGTAAATGACTTAAAAATTTTTAAGACTATTTGGTTTGAGTAAGTCCAAACTAGAATACTGTAGTCTACAAATATAAATGAACATACACTCAACAAAAAAATCCACTTCAGTATAGGTCTTGCTCCTATATACCCGAGTACTACTCACCCACTGTACTGTCCAGTCATATCCATCAGTGCTAGACTTGATCCCACACTTGGCCTTCCTACATGTCTCTTCTCCTTCACCTGAGGACACCTAGGCCCACAGTGTAGTGTTTGTAGGCAGGGTAGCTCTGGAGTGAGACTGCCTGGGTTAGAATCATAGCTCTGCCACAAAACAGCTGTTCAGTCTTTGTCCCTCACTGACCCCAAATGTAAAAATGAGCATAATGCTGTGATAGTATTTACCTGATAGGGATTGTTGTAAGAAATAAGACTGCTTAGCACAAAGTGTCAATAAATAATAACTATTATGGTTACTGAGATTAAGAAGTTATAATAATACTTTTACATCAAGGAACATAAAAACGTAACGAAAAAAGTTCCCATTCACAGTAGCAAAACAAAAACGTACAAAAGTAAAAATAACCTGTAGGGAGTCACGTGAAGACAACTACAGAACTGGGAGGAAATGGTGAGAAACACAATATTTCTGAACTTTGACCCACATACCAATGATCTCCAAATTTACAATTTATTAGTTTCATGTAATTCCAATTAAAATTCCAATGGCATGATGGTGTGTGAGAATTTGGCTAACTGATTCTAAAAATTATCTGTAATAATAAAGAAGTGAAAATATCCAAGATAATTTTGAAATAGAAGAATAAATAGGAAAGACTCACACCATTAAACATTAAATGTATTATAAAGCAACAATGATTAAACCAGAACAATGCATCTACAAAAACAGACAAATAGAAAAGAATGTAAGACCTAGAAAAAAAGCCCTTGAATACGTTAAAAATGTGGCAAATGATAATGACACAATTTCATATCAGAAGGTAAAACATGAGTTGGGGTTTTCTGTTTTAAACATTTTTTTAAAGACTTATTTATTTGAGACAGAGAAGGAAAGAGAATCCCAAGCAGACTCCCCGATGACTGTGAAGCCTGGCATTGGGCTCAATTCCACGACCTTAAGATCATGACCTGAGCCAAAATCAAGACTCGGACACTTAACTGACTGAGCCACTCAGGTGCCCCCTTTTTAAAACATTTTTATTGAAGTATAACTTACAGTAAAATATGCAGATATTAAATGTGTAGGTGTAGAGCTTGATGATATGTGGCCACCATCCAGATTAAGGTGTTGAACATTTCCGGCATCCCAGAATATTCCCACTTGCCCCCCTGCGTTACCGGCTCTGCTGCCCCCTCCCCGCCAAGGAAACCATTATTTTAACTTCTTTCACCATAAAGCATATAAATGGAATCACACAGTAGGTGTTCTTTCGTCTTTGGCTCCTTTTGCTCAATTCTGAGTCCATGAGATTCATCCATGTAGTTATTATAAGTAGCAGTATTTTCTTTTTGCTGTACAACAGTCAGTTAGATGAATATACCACAACTTACTTACACTCTTGATTGAGAGATTTCTTAGCTATTAGGAATAAAGTATTCTTCTATCTTTTGTTGAACATAAGCACCCAGTTCTCTTAAGTGAATGCTCAGGAGTGAAGCAACTACAGCACAGGATTTATATATGCCCAGGCTTAGTACACGGTTTTTGTTTTTTTGTTTTTTTTGAAGTGATTATACCAATTGACACCCCCAACGGCAACGGAGGAGTTTCTAAACTGATCTATCTATGCCTTGCCAACACTAGATCTTATGGGTCCTTTCAATTTTAGCCATTTTCTTTAAAGATTTTATTTATTCATTTGACAGAGAGAGAGAGAGCACAAGCAGGAGGAGCGGCAGGTAGAGGGAGAGGGAGAAGCAGGGAGCCCGATGCGGGGCTCAATCCTGGGACCCTGGGATCATGACCTGCGCCGAAGGCAGACGCTTAACTGTTGGGAGCCACCCAGGTGCCCCAATTTTAGCCATTCTAATCCAGGTATAATAGTGTCAGTTTGCCTTTCTCTTATGATTAATGATGTTGACTGAGAGCCTTTTCATATGCGAAACAGCCATTGATGTCTTTTTTGTGAAGCGCCTCTCCAAACTTTCTGCACACACAGATACAGAAAACAATGGTTTCAAAGACATAATATGCCGGATATCGTCTCTCAGTCTGTAGCTTGCATTTTCTCTCCCTTAATAGTGTCTTGTTATGAACCTAACATCTAATACTAATGAGGCTTAATTTAAGTCTTGTCCTTGTGGCAGTGCTTTTCATGTCTTGCTTAAGAAATTTTTGCATCGGGACGCCTGGGTGGCTCAGCCTGTTAAGCCTCTGCCTTCAGCTCAGGTCATGATCCTGGGGTCCTGGGATCAAGTCCTGCATTGGGCTCCTTGCTCAAAGGGGAGCCTGCTTCTCCCTCTGCCTGCAGCTCCCCCTGTTTGTGCTCGCGTTCTCTCGGACAAATAAATAAAATCTTAAAAAAAATTTTTTTTTTGCCTACTCCAAAGTTTCTAAGATACTATTCCATGTATTCATCTAGAAGCTTTACTGCTTTAACTTTTACATTTTGGCTTATAACCCATCTAAAAATAATTTTTGTATATCGTGTGAGGTAGAGGTTAAAGATCCTTGTTTTCCATATGGATATTCAATTGTCAAGTATTGAAAGGACCATGAGATCATTAATTTAAATAATAAAATATTTTAAAAACATTACACAATAAACGAAAACATACTGCTGTAAAAAAAAAAAAGTTAAACAATACAAAACTATGTAGAGTCAAACAAGAAAATACTCCATGTCCTTCAACCCCAGGTCCAACAATCATAACTTCTGTTTTGTTGAACCACGGTTAGTGGTTTGATGTGAATTGTTCCACATTTTAAAAATTCATTACACACACGATTGGTATTTAAAAAAAAAAACACTTAAAATCATACCTTGTATACTGTTTTGTGATTTGCTTTATTCATTTATCATGTATACATATGGATCTACTTCATCTTTTGATACCTGCATTGTATTCTCTACTAGTGCTTCTCAAAGCAGTTTTAATTTCTGAACCATTATTGACTAACAGTTTTGTAAAATGCAATAAAATGAATTACTAGAACAACGATCACACACTTGGAGGTTATAACAATGTCACAACACTCTGAAAGTTTCCAAGTACTCTTCTTCCCTGCTCCCTTATCTCAAGGTGGTCGGGTTTTGACACTTCAAGTAGCACAGTTCCGTACAGCTATACCATGACCTATTATCATTTAGGATGTACCCAATCTGAGAATCTGCCTGTACTGGAAAAGTCTACTCCATTCACATTTATTAGGGGAACTGTTGTTTCTTTTACTGACATCATCGTTTATGTTTCATGTTTGTTAGACTTCATGATTTCTGCCCGCCTTTGTCCCCTTTTCTGTCTTTAGTTGAAATTATTTTCTCTGCCCCCTTCCTTTGTTCTCTGATGCAGAGGTCAACAAACTATGGACCAAACCCAGCTCACTGTCTTTGAATGGCCCACAAGTCAAGAAGAGCATTTTACAATTTATGAAAATTATATGAAATTCAAATTTCATGTTTATGAACAAAGTCTGATGGGAGCTCAGCCACACATACTTGCTTACAGAGAGGTCTATGGCTGCTTCCGTGCTGCAGCAGCCAGAGGGGCACGGGCTGCCCCCAGTGCCTTAAGTATTTGCTACATGGCCCTTTATGGAGTAGTTTGCCAGTGGTTTGGAAATTATATACCCTATTTTGTTCTTTTAA